TAAGTGTTTAATATAGACTTGCTGGCTGACTAACTTTCAGCCCTGATAGAATCTTCTTCCACCTTTCTTTTTCTCTTGCTTTCCTGTTTTCCTTTCTTTCCCTCTCTCCCCGTCCTTTTTTTTCTCCAGAATACGTGTTTTCTTTCCTGACAGCCTCACTGAACTCCCGTGAGTCTCCTGAGTCATTCTAAAGCCATTGCTCTTCGTGGGTCCCTCAACATATTCCAAATCTCCATCCAGAAGCTGACCCAGCAGGACAGATTCCCCCTCCTCCCCATCTCTTGCCTCACGCTGATTGGATCGCACTTAGCAATCGCAGCGTCTCCACTGTCAGCATTCACGTGCTACCCAGGAAACCAGCAAATCAGAATTCCGAGCCTCCTATCACAGAGAAGTAGAAGAGCTAGAACGCTGTAAGAGAGGCTTGCAAAAGGTTTTTCGCCTTCTGGGAAGTACGGCTCTATCCTATCAACCTGCCAGATGTTTGCCTCACACTCCCTTTCCTGCCTAACAGCTCTAAGAGAATGGGAGTGAGTCGCTGATTAGAAACTGTCTTGTTTTTCGGCTGACTTTTTAACTTGTAAGTTGCCAAATTCAGTTTTCTCCTGGCCAGCCCCTGCTAGGAGGAGAATCTATACTCTCCAACCAGGTGCAATATCTGCCCCTTCTTTGTCCAGAATCATGGTTACATTTTAGTATGGTAAAATCTTGGAGCTGCAGGAGAGCCTGGAAATCATTAGTCCAATCTGGAGACCCTTTTCCTCCGGAAAAAAAAAAAGCGTAAAGTGATTTGCCAGAAGTCACAGGGTTAATTAAATAGTAGAATGAGGCCTAAAACCCATATCTCCTGAGTCTCAAACCAGAGCTTTTTCTACCAGATTACAATGAAAAGATTTACAACCTTCTCCCCTCTCCCTCAAATAAACAGATTTCTAGCCTCTGTCTGGGCTAAAGAGGAAAAGATGATAGAATTCATTTGGATATATTCATTTCATTGTTGAGATGATAAATAATTGATAGAAGTTTATTTCAAAAAAGTAATGAACAACACATTTATAAATCTGAAGATTCTGTTCTGATTTAAAAATTTCCTTGACTTCCTAGCCAAGAAAGCCCTTTGGCTGACTACCTCATACCCAATATACCCAATTTTTACAAAGTAATTGCTACAGATGAGTCCTTGCTTCCTCTGGCCTCTTCATGGTCCTTAGATGTTTAATGGGATTCATTCATCATATAGACTGCTTTTCTGTCTTCTTTGAGTTTACCTCTTTCATTTTCTAAATAGTGTCCCTCCTGTGAAATACCCCAGTCTGCCTCAGATTTTCTTTCCTGTTTCTTCAACCCTCAGAGCCACATGGCCTTTGGGTTTCTTATTGTTATTTACAACATTTGGTCCTTCAGACTGTTATTTCTGGACTGGCCTTGATAATAATGTGCAGAGGTGGCAATTTTTCTTTTAAAAAATTAAATTTTATTTAAAAAAATTACTTAGCAGCTACCTTCTTTCATCCCCCCCCAAAGAAAAAAGAAAGAAAAGCAAAACTCCTCAAACAAATATACAAAGTTAAGCAAAACATTTCCACATCAATCATGTCCAAAAATGTATTTCTTACTCTGCATTACTAGTCCATCATCTCTCTTTTAAAAGTTGAGAAGCATTCTAAATCATTGGTCCTCTGGAATCATGAATGATCATCACAGTGATCAGCATTCTTAAGTCTTTCAAAATTGTTCATTTTTACAATGTTATTGTTATATAAATTGTTCTCCTGGTTCTGCTCACTTCACACTACATTAGTTCAAAGTGATGTTCAAGTGACTCCTGCTCCCTCTACACTTTCCTAATTTGTATATCATGATAAATCTTCCTATCTTTTCCTTTTTTTCTTAGTATATCCTTTTTCCTCATCCCCTTCATTTCTCTTTTTAAAATGATCAAAACACATAGAAAATCATTCTTAAGCATTCCATCTTATTTGAGTCCTTCAATTGACCCTTTCTGATATCATGGTTTTTAGGGGATGCTTATACCACCCCCCACCATTAGAACACAGACACTTCGCCTTTGTAAAGTCTTTTTTGATTGTTTGCTTGTATTTACGTAAGCAACCATCTTTTTCTTTTCTTTTCTTTTCTTTTTTAATCAAGAATGTTTGGAAACCCTGTGTTTCATTAAAGGCCCATTTTTTCCTCTCTAGGATTATACTCAGTTTTGCTGAGTAAGTTACTCTTGGTTGTAGGCCTATATCTTTTTTTTTTTAATTTTTAGGCAATTGTGGTTAAGTGACTTGCCCAGGGTCACACAGCTAGTAAGTGTCAAGTGTTTTGTCTGAGGCCGGATTTGAACTCAGGTCCTCCTGACTTCAGGGCTGGTGCTCTTTCCTAGCTGCCCCTAGGTGCGCCACCTAGCTGCCCCCAAGGCCTGTATCTTTTGCCTGTGTTTATTAAATTCTCCACTCCCTTATGGTGGCATCTGCTAAATCTTATGTAATCTTGACTGTGGTTCCTTGAAATTTAAGCTTTTTCTGTCTGGCAGCTTGCCATATTTTGTTTTTATTTGGCCTGAAAGTTCTAGATTTTTGCCATGACATTTCTAGGAGTTTTCATTATGGAGTTATTTTAGGAAGTAAGTGCTATATTCTATGTTCATTTTGCCTTCTGGCTTTAAGAGTGGCCTAGGGTGAAGCTCTGGGCACTGAGTTTATGCTCCCAGTCGGAGATATGGCCAGGGACTGAATCAGAAATCTAATATCCTCTGCATTGGCCTAGCTTGGAGCTCTGACTGCAACTGTGGGTAATATCAAGGGCAGCTAGGTGTCCCAATGAATAGAGTACCAGGTCTCGAGTCAGGAAGACTTGTCTTCCTGGGTTCAAATCTGCTTTGGACACCACTGGCTGTGTGACCTTGGGCAAGTCACTTAACCTGTTTGGTTCAGTTTCCTCATTTACAAAATGATTTGGAGAAGGAAATGGCAAACCACTTCAGTATCTCTGCCAAGAAAACCTCAAAGGGGTCATAGTCAGTCATGACTGAAAAATGACTGAAGTGTGAAATGAAAAAATGTGGGAAATAGCCACGTATTGGCTTGGGCCTGAGGCTGGGTCTTTGATCGGATCTTGGTATCCCTGTGCTGTTGTCCTGGTTCAGAGCTCTTCATCAGTGCTGGGTCCATGATCTTGGATCTTACTCGTTACATAGGTCCTCCCTTGGTCAATCAAATTTTATAGATCAGATTTTGATCTTGGGCTGCAAAGATAGCCTGTGGTAGTTTCTCCTTTTTCTTATTCACTATTTGGTCCAGCATCCTTCTTAGATCATTCTTGGAGCAGTTTGAGGGGAAGTTAGGATGCAGCAATTTCTTCTATTCTATCATCTTGGCTGTGTCTCAATAGCAGTGTTTCCTGAGGAGATAGTGCAGCAGCAAAATATTGCCTTCTTCACAGGTACTGTAGCCACTCATTCCCTTCCCTAAGAATATCTCAACTCCTAAGGCGTTAAGTTACCAGTCTGATAGCATGTCCAGGTTAATTTTACCTTTTCAAGAAGAGGGCAAGGACTCCTAGGAACTAAAACCATTACTTTGCTGTTGTTTGTCAAGTGTTGTTTCATCTCTAACCGCAGAAGGACTTTTTAGGGCAAGATAATAGTACCACAGCTCTTACATCATAGGTTTTATGGGTGGTAAGTAACTTTGTCCCACAACTGTTTAAGGCAGACAGGACCCAGCAATCCAGGAGGATTGTAATTCTTTTCAAGTGATTATAGTTCCTTCTGATGAATCTCCAACAAGAAATTCAGATCCTTTTCTGGAGTTACTTGTTTCTTGGTTTATCATGTGGTTTTTTTTTTTAACCACCTTCTCCTTTTCCTTTTTCTTAAACACTTTCTTCCTCTTCTTTCCTCCTCTCCCCGGCAGCCCCTCCTCATTCTCCCACATGGGTGTTTTTTGCTTCCTCTTTCCTTCTATCTAGACTTCCTTTTCCTGCTCAAAGTTTCCCTTTTATTTACCAGAATCACATACAATCTTGTTTGCTTGTTGACCTTTGCAATTTAGGGCAAGTCCCTTTTGGTTTTCTATGCATTTGATTGATTCTTATGTGTGATGAATTTATTTGTGAAAAACCTTGGTTATATATCCCAATTAAATAGACTCAGTAATGAATGAACTCTCAGGAGAGAGAGAGAGAGAGAGAGAGAGAGAGAGAGAGAGAGAGAGAGAGAGAGAGAGAGGAAATTTCTTGTTTTTAACCAGAACAGGACAATTAACCTTCTCTGATTGGAGACATGAGATTCTCTCTGTAGACTAGAAAGTACTCTGAAAGGCTTGTGGAAATTTATAAAGAATGTACCCTTTTGTTAGGAGATGCCCTTTCCAACTCTTCTCTTGTTTTTCCTGGGTAATTTCCATTTTTTCCAATCAACTCCATTCTCTATAATACAGGCATTTGTTGGCAGGTTAAACAAACTCTTTAGTGTTTTGGCTTGACTTTGTCATACAGAATCAGAATCGGCAGGCTCTCAGACTCAGTGTGGCCAGAACTTTTTTTTTCTTTTGAAATTGGGTCTGAGAAGAAAGAGTTGGCACATGGCACTCTGTGGTTGCATGGGTCAGAGGATTCAAGTTATCTTTGGTTTGGTACCATAAAGGCCTCACTTTAGTTGATATGCAAAATACAGGGCTTGCAAATTCTTTAGGTTTCATAAAAAGTCTTTGGGGAGCTTAATTAAACTATTTTATAGGCCAGCATTCACCTTCATTGGGGTGAACCACTCATTCCACATTCCATCTATATATTGTAAGGAACACTCCAAAATATAGCCAGGACAATGAGTGCTTTTGAGAGTGGAGAAATGTTTACCAGTAATGTTGAAACAATTGAGATTGTTTATCTTGAGACGCCCTTTCTTGCTTCCACAGGAACTACTTGTCAAGTTTAAAGGCTCCTTTGCTCGAGAAACTTGTATATGAATCCTGAAAAGAAGACTGAGGATCATTAGTTTGATTCTTTGCTCTTTGAGGCCTTTGCTTCTCAAGTAAAAAGAGGAAGAGTAACCCAAAACTCTACTTAGAAAATGACTGGAAACCTGCGGAGAAGACTTGTTTGGAGTGAAACCGAATACCATAAGGAAATAGACAGTTGGTATTTCTGTTTGTTCTAATAATACTGTTATATTGCCACTAAACTTTAGTTGTATGTGTGGGAAAGGCAAAATATTTCCAGAAGATAGGAACTGGACCATTTCTTTGGTGTTCACCATTGACATAATTTGGGTTCGCTCCTCCATCTTGCACTTGTAATCTCAGATTAGTTGGGTCTCCAGAGGGTGATGTCTTCCACATGGACAACGTAACCTAATATAAGATTTATGAGTGTTTGCGTTTCTCCAAGTAATATCCAAAGGGATTATAAGGAAGCCTTTAATGTCTGAAATCTGAGTTGAAATATCAGCAAATATCCAGTGTGACTTAATAAAAATGACTGGAGCTTTGATATAATACCCAAAGTCAGAGCCATAATTAGTTTGGGGGTAAACAGGGTTTTGTTGAAATATAGAGGTCACTGACAACACTCGTTAGTACAAGTTGTTAGTTTCAGTGGCATTGAAACTGAGCTTAACACTTGATTAGCAAGAATAATGAGTTAATGATTTTTTGTTGTTATTCAGGTGTTTTTTTTTTTAATCCTGTCCAATTTTTTGTGACCCCATTCAGAGGTTTCTTGGCAAAGATACTGGAGTGGTTTGCCATTTCCTTCTCCAGATCATTATATAGATGAGGAAACTGAGGCAAACAGGGTTAAATGACTTGTCCAGGGTCACACAGCTAGTAAGTGTCTGAGGCCAGATTTGAACTCAGGGAGATGAGTTTTCCTGACTCTGGGCAAGGCACTCTAACCACTGAACCACCTACCTGCCCTAATTATTTTTAATTGACTTTAATTAAAATTAGTTAGAAGGAATAGAATAATTAGACAGAAAGCTACAAGATGGTGCTTTGGGCTGCTTTGTGCCTTTAGGTTAATTCTTCCCTTATTCAGCCTCATTTATTACCTACCTCTCCCTAGACTGATACCTTAGGATCTTTTCTCCTCCCAACCGAATTTATCTTAAAAAGTTAATTTGAGGGTGTGTTTCATTGACACTTGTTGTAGATGCCAGAACTGCTAGGTATATATGACTCTATTTAAAGTTCATGCGACCTGACCATCTTTTAGTTAGTATTTGTTGTTGTTGGGTTTTTTCAGTCATGTCTAACTCTTCGTGACCCCATTTGGGGTTTTCTTGACAAAGATACAGGAGAGGTTTGCCTCTTCCTTCTCTAACTCATTTTACAGATAAGAAAATGAGGCAGACAGAGTTAAATGACTTCCCTAAGGTCACACAGCTAGTAAGTGTCTGAAGCCAGATTTGAACTCAGAAAGATAAGTCTTTTTGGTTCTAAGCCAGTGCTCTATCCATGGTGCTACCTAGCTGACTACTGTAGGTAGGATAGCGTGTAATAAATGAGGTCCTTTTGGTACTTTCAGTTATGAAAGTTCCTTTCTTGGGGTCTGACAGACCTGTTAAATCACGTTTCGGTATTCTGTTAGCTTGTTAGTTACAACAAGCAATTATTAGATGACTACTATTTGCCAGGTACTGTACTAAGTGCTGAGGACACAAAGAAAGGCAATAGACAATCCCTCCCTAATAGGAGAGAGAACTTACAAACAAGATTTATGCAGTCTAAATTGGAAATAACCAGCAGAGAGAAGACTTTGTATAGAAGGTAGGATTTTCTGAGATTTAAAGGAAGCCAAAGAATCATGAAGCAGAGATGGTGAGAAGGCGAGCATTGCAGACATGGGGGACAGCCATGGTTAGAAGATGGAGTGTCTAATTTAAGAACTGGCTAGGAGACCTAGGACACTGAATCACAAAATACATGACAGGGGATATAAGATAGAAAAAGACCAGAAAAGGGGAGAGACAAGTTAAGAAAGGATTTGAGCACCAAAGAAGGATTTTATATTTGATCCTCCGGTTGATAGAGAGCCACTGGAGTGAGTATGTGGGTGACATGATCAGACCTGTATTTTAGGAAGAACACTTTGACAGCTGAGTGGAGGAAGGACTGTGAGAATATAGTGTAATGATGTATCAAGCTTAGATTAGATGAGGCAGCTAGGTGGCGCCACAGTGCGTAGAGTGCTAGGCCTGAAGTCAGAAAGACTCATCTTCCTGAGTTCAAATCCAGCTTCAGGCACACACTAGCTGTGTGACCTTGGGCAGGTTGCTTCACTCTGTTTGCCTCAGTTTCCTCATCTGTAAAATGAGCTGGAGAAGGAGATGGCAAAACACTTGCCAAGAAAACCCTAAATAAAGTCACAACTGAAATGACTGAACAGCAGACTTAAGAAAGTATTGGACAAAATATCGACAATGCAGATTAAGCTTAAAAGTGTGTTGGGCATAAACTTTTTTTCCCCCTTCAGATAATAGTTGTAAAACATTTACCAGCTCACCCCTCCCTGCTCCTCTGCCTCTTGGATGGGTCTACATTAGCTGTGGCCCTGCAGGTTTAGATAGGCTTCTCTGACATGAGGAAGAATTTGAATGTCTTTTAAAATATCTACAGATTGTCCCAGGGTAGCTATTGAAAGCAACGTAGCCTAAGTGGCCAATATAATATGCTTCATGTTCCTCATTCTGCTTGCTGGTTCAAGCTATTTGTGTTTTTTAAAAATTTATTTTATCTTTAATTTATGAAATAAAACAAGCATTTCCATAACATAGTATAATAAAAAAGATAATTGTGTGTGAAGCTGCAAATCTATTATGTACAACTTGCTATTCCTTTTAAATATATAATAGTTATCACATAAATTTCTTTTTCCTTTTTTCCTTCCCCCCCCAGAGGGCTACTATTAGACACAAATAGGTATATTATTCTATACATACTTCTATTTATCAGCTTTTTCTCTGGTTGCAGATAGTATCTTTCTTCATAAGCCTTTTATTTTTAATTGTGTATTTATAATAGTCAAAATGACTTAGTTGATCAAAGTCGTTTTTTAAAACATAATTTCTATTACTTTATACAATGTTGTCTTGGTTCTGCTCACTTCACTTTTCACCATTCTGTGCAAGTCTTCCCATGTTTTTCTAAGATCATTAAGCTCATCATTTCTTATAGAATAGTAGTATTCCATCACAACCATACACCACAACTTGTATAGCCATTCCTCATTTGATGGGGATCCCGGAAATTCCCAGTTTTTTGCCACCACAAAGAAGTGCTGTAAACATCCCATTCACATACACAGTTATAATTACTATCTGTGAATTTTCCTCTATCTTATTTTTACTTTATTTTCTATTTCAGCCTCTCTTTTTATCTTATCTCTGTTACCTTATCTTATCCCCCACCCACCCTTCCAAGAGCCCCCCACACCTTCTCACCCCCCAATAGCAATTTACACACCTTTCCAAAAGTCCTTCCTCCATCCTCTCTCTCTCCATGCTCCCAAATCCCAATCTACAGACTCCTCTAAAAGTCCCTCCCAAACACAGTCCCCAAGTTTTCTTACCTCTCTGTATGTTCAGAACACTTCTACACCCTTTCAGATGTACATGTTTTCTGTTCAACCCAAATGAGAGTAAGGTTCCAACATTACCAGTCCTCCACCCTGACCTGCTTCCTCTATGTTAGTTCTTTCTTTCAGACACATTTTTATAATAGCATTGCTCCCTTTTACCTTTTGCTACCCAGTTTTGTTTTTTTTAGAATCACTCTATCATGCACAACTCAGTTCCGACCTTTCTTTCAAACTATCTTAGTAATAATGACAGTTTTAAGAATACTGATAACATTTATATATATGTGTGTGTATATATATATATATATATAATAAGTAAACAGTTTGACCTTAATGAGGGCCTTGTAATTAGTCTTTAATATTTTCCTTGTATTTCTTCTGGATCTTTTATATCAAATTTCTCATTGAGTTCTGGTCTTTTTGTTACAAATACCTGAAAGTCTTTCAGTTCATCATTTTTTTTTCTTTTCAGGATTATACTCAACTTGGCTGGATAAGTTATTCTTGGATGCAACTCCAGCTCTTTTGCTCTTTGAAATATAATGTGCCAAGACCTATGATCTCTTAAAGTAGATGTTGCTGTGTCTTGTGAAATACTGACTGTAGATTTTGTTGTTGTTGTTGCTATTGCTTGCAATATTTTTTTCCTTAATCTGGAAATTTTGAAACTTGGCTACGACAAATCTAAGTTTTCCTCCTGGGATCTCTTTCAGGTGGTGAACAGCAGATTTTTCTCTATTTTTACTTTATCCTTTTGTAGAACTTCAGGGCAATTTTCATTAATTTTTTTTTGTTAATTTCTTATAATATTGCATCCAGATTCTTTTTTGATCATAACTTTCAGGTAGTCTGACAATTCTTATATTGTCTCTCTTCCATCTATTCTCCAGATCAGTTGTTTTTCTAATGAGATGTTTCAGATTATTTTCTATTGTTTCTACTTTATCATTTCTTGGTGTCTTATAACATCATTCAATTCCTCTTGCCCAATTCTATTTTTCAAGGAGTTATTTTCTTCCTTAAGAATTTGGATCTTGGGGCAACTAGGTGGTGCAGGGGATAGAGCTCTGGCCTTGGAATCAGGAGAACCTGAGTTCAAATCTGGCCTCAGACACTTGACACTTACTAGCTGTGTGACCTGCAGCAAGTCACTTAACCCTGATTGCCTCACCGAAAAGCAAAAAAAAAAAAAAGATTTTAGATCTCTTTTTTCAATTGGTTAACTTTGTTTTCATAATCACCTTGGATTACTATTACTTTTTTTCCCCTGATTTTTCCTCAATCTCTCTTATTTGATTTTTTGATTCCTTCTTAAATTCTTCCCAAAATTCTTTTTGGACTTGTGACCATTTGATGTTACTCTTTGGGATAGGAGTGCCTTTTTTTTTTAACCTCATTTTCTTCCTCTGAATTTGGACCCAAATCTTCTTTTACACCAAAGTAGCTATCTATGGTCAGATTCTTTTTCCTTTGCTTACTCATTTTGCTTTATTTTTAGCACCTTATTATAATAATCAGGTTTTAATCCTGAGCTGCGGATAATGTTGCCATAGGCCTCAGGCCCTCCTAATTGTTATTTTCTGAATTCTGTCTGGGGGCTCAACCTCAGGGACTCCTTTCCTCCAGCCATCTATGAGGTGGGACTATTTTTGGAAGTTTAAAATATTCTTGATGAGTTGAGGGGAGGAACATATATAAGGACAAAGGCAGAAGTGAGGGGTAAAAAGATGGACAAGGGAGGATATTCATAGCTCTATTTAGTGAAAAGAGCACTAAACTTGGAATTAGAACACCTAGCTTCAAGTCTGGGTTCTTTCACTAATTAACTGTGTGATCTTAGACAAGTCAATTAGCTTCTCTAAGACTTTAGTCCCCTCATGCATAAAATGAGGACAATAGTATCTTCCCTATCTAATGCACAGAGTTGCTGTGGAGGTCAAATGAGAAAATGTACATTAAGAGTTCTGTGTACTGTATAAATGTGAGCTATAAGTTTTCCAATTGTGCTTGGTTCCTTTCTTTATGGTAGTTTCCAGTGACCTAAACCATGAAGCAGAGTTGGAGAGGATACTACCACCCCCCAGTTATGAAAAGCCACTGTCAAAGAATGTAGCACCAAATAACAGTCAGGGACACATGGACAGGCATAATCTCATTTCATCTGAGGAATGGCTTTGAATTCATGGACTCAAAACCAAAAAACTGACCTTGTCCCAGATTTTATCTCAGATTGGATTTCTTCATCAGGAAGGTATAGTATATGAAAATCTTACATACCTGGCAGACTAACCATCATGTTGTGTGTCAACTCTGTGTGTGTGTGTGTGTGTGTGTGTATGTGTGAACTTTTGTTCCATGCATTATAGAACCCTTCAAGTGGACAAAATCCTATCAGCTTCCTGTGCTCTCAGAATTTTAGGACATGGGTGGCTTTGATTCTTTTCCTATCACAGCTTAGTATAGTATGTTTTGTTTTATTCTAATGGATTGATTAATGCACTGATTGGGGTTTGTTCTCAGGCTTCAAACGGGTCATTGTTTTCCTTAAAGAAATCTTGCAGAAGACAAAGTTGCTCCTTTCCTTATAGTCTGACAGTGTCTTAGTCTTACCTAATCATTTTGTTCAGTTTTCATTATTGTCTTGGTCCCAAATCTAGCCGGATTCTGAAACTTGATATGAACAGGAGTCAATACCAAATTTGGACAAGGTTAAGGAAAAGGACCAAGTAGAATAAGAAGGTATCTTGAACCTGTCAAAGGACCCTAAAACTTGGTTTGGGTGAGTGCTGAATTGACCTAGGGAACCAATTACTCAGCCTTGGTCTTGTCCAGTCTTGCTTAATATTTGAAAACTATAAAGTGGGGGATGCTTTAGGATATGGAAGGTTTATCAGGAGATAGAAAGTACTTTTTTTTTTAACCTCTGAGAGGGCTTGAAGTAACTAGCAAACTGGTTTTATTTTTCAGAGATTTTTTGATTTTCCTTCTATTCACTTTGAGCAACAAGTCTGTCCATGGGTTAACCATCTGAAAGGCACAGGCCATGTCTTACATTTCATCTTGTATCCTCACACAGTTGCTCATACCACACAGTTTTATGCTCAGTAGTGATTTGGTGAATGAATGAATTCTTGAACCACAAAGTCTAGCAGAGCTACTGTCCTGGGGAGGAGGCAGAGGGATGTCTTTCAGTTTTGAAGGTAACAGATGAATAGAAACTTGTATCTTGAATTTAACTCTGCACCAATAAAATTAGATCACACAGGGAAGGTGACTTTTCAGAAATGGTGATTTCAGGTCCCGGGAAAGAGTGAGCACAGAAATGTCGGTTGAATTGAGATAAGTAATCACCATTCCCTCAAAGCTGCTGCCTGCTATAATTGTACCCTGTTGCTACTTCTAATATGTTTAAAGCAGGAGACCCTTTTAGCAGTCTGGCGAAGTCTCTGGATCCTTTCTTAGATAATGTTTTTAAATGATAAATTAAAATACATAGGATTACAAGGGAAACCAAAGGTTAGTGAAAATGAAAATGTAACTTTTTTTCCTCATCCAAGTTCATGAATCCCCTGAATCCTGTCCATGGACCCCTTGATGGTTTGTGGAGCCTAGGTTCATATCATCTCTGTTTTGATGATATTCCCATGTCAGAGGAAATCTCAGGCGTGATGATAAGGTAAAGTCTCTTAAGTTTGGTACAAATTTGCATAGGTGGGGTTAGAAAGGAGGGCTTTTTAGAGGAGGTGACTCCTATACTAGGCTTGAAGATAAATAGTCCTGATCAGGTATATTCTGTATCATTATAGATGGAAGGGACCATGGAAGATCACCTAACCAAGATCCTTATTTTACAAATGAGGAAACTTAAGCTAAGAGAGCTTTAGTGATTTGCCCATGGTCATAAAGGGAGGAAGTGACAGAGGTCAGATTTGTTTTTGAGGCAATTGGGGTTAAGAGACTTGCCCAGGGTCACACAGCTAGTAAATGTTGGAGGCCAGATTTGAACTCAGGTCCTCCTAACTCCAGAGCAGGTGCTCTATCTGCTATGCTACCTAGCTGCTCCCAGAGGTGAGACTTGAACCTAGATCTTCTGACTCTAAATCTATCCCTGTTTCTACTACACTACAACCCTAATTCCATTTATTTCTGGTAGAATTGGATGCCGTGTATGACTGAATAACTCATCACTGGGAATATTCAAGATCTTCCAAGATATTGTATGTTAAATACCCAGTCAACAGAGCCCAACCTTCCTAAGAACTCTGCCTCCTGGAATTTAAATTTGGCATAATTAGATAAAAATCCTTTCCATTTGAACTCACGATTGGCTTGTAAGAGGGGGTGGTTTCAAAAGAAAACAAAACCAAACATGGCAAGACCTGTATGAACCGATGCAAAGGGAAGTGAGAAGAACTGAGAGATCATTGTGCATAGCAACAGCCATGTTGTAATGATGGTCAATGTGAAAGACTTGGCTACTCTGGTCAATACAGTGATCCAAGATAATTTTGAATGACTCATAATGAAAAAATGCTATTCATCTCTAGAAAGAGAACTGATGAACTTGAGAGTGCAAATTGAACTATAATTTTCTCGCTTTATTATTTTTTTGCTTTTATTTTTGTGATATAGCCAATATGGAAATACGTTTTGCATGACTTCACATGTAAAATTAATCGATATCATTCTTCTTGACTTTTCAGTGGGTGGGGAAAGGGTGGGAGGGAGGGAGAAAATTTGTAACTCAAAATTTAAAAAATGTTAAAAATAAAAAATAATTTTTAAAAGAATAAAAAAAGAAAAGAAAAGAATGAGAGATGACAACAGATGACAACCAAAATATTGCTCTTATATCCACAAAGTATTAAAAAAGAATCTGAACATTAAGTAAAAAAGAGAAAAAAGAAAAAAAAAGATCCATTTCTTTTTTTTTTTCTTTTTGGTAAGGCAATTGAAGTTAAGTGACTTGCCCAAGGTCACACAGCTAGTGTCAAGTGTCTGAGACCAGATTTGAACTCAGGTCCTCCTGACCCCAGGGCCAGTGCTCTATCTACTGCCTCACCTAACTGCCCCAATGGATCCATTTCTGTCCTCCTTTTCCTACAACTTAAGGAATGTGATGTCAAAAATTAGAAGGCAAGAGATGATTCCGTAACTCCTGAGTCAGAATAAGGTCTGGAGAAGCAGTAAGAGCTATGGCCTAGGAATTAGGAGGCCTAGATTCTAGCATGGCCTTTGCCACCCACTAGCCAAGTAAACTTGATGGGTTACAACTTCTCTGAGAATCTGTTTCTTTAACTACAAAGTGAATTGTTTTTTAAAATAATTGAGACTTAAAAGTTTCCTTCAAGTCTGTTTTTCCTCTTTTAAGAGCTAGGAATTCTTTGTACGTTTAAGACCTTGGCATAGTTCCTACCTTTTTTTTCCCCCACTTCATATTTGTGGTAGTTCTCAATTTGAAAAAAAAACCCAAGCAAACTGGGTTAGATGGTTTAGTTTTCTTGAAATGTGTATTTTTAAAAAAAAAGATTAATGGTCTACATAGACATATGAAAACCCTCGTAGCATTAAAGCTTAATATTAATTTTGAAATAGCTCTTTTAAAGACCTTCTTAGAATGCTGACAGAATAAATATTTGACACTTTTGGTGATACATTTTACAGATGAGGAAAGTCAAACTCAGAATGGTTAAGTGACTTGCCCAGGGTCACACTGCTGGTAAGATGGAATGTGAACCAAGTCTTCCTTCCTCCAAGTCTAGCACTCCATGCTGTTGTTCCCTAAGGCATAATAGATATTTGAGATTAATTTTTTTCAGCCATGAAATCCAGGTCAAAATCTGATTAACTCTTCCAAGTTAAATATAATTTCTGATTATCCATTGAAGCTTGTGCTTTCATAAGTCTAAGAAAAAGCACTAGGGGGAAGGAAATAAGCATTTATATAGCATTTAATATGTGCCAAGCACTTTTTTTTTTAAAGTATCTCATTTGAGTTTCACAACAACCCTGAGGGGGTTGCTCTTATTATCCTACTTAAGAAAATTGAGTCAAACACAGTTTAAGTGACTTGGTGTATGGGTTGTTTAGGAAGACTAGTACCTCTGATGTAAGGGCTTTCTGAGCCTTTTTCAGGTCTGCTCATCTGCCTTTGGTGTCCATCTGATTCACCCAACTCTCACCTGTGTGGCCAAGAAGTTGTAGCATGCACAGCGGCCGTACCCTGGCAAATGGGCTAAAGCAGGTTGAGAGTAACCATGTCTGCCCCAAGTATGTGAAGACTTTTCCTGGAGGAATGGATGAATGAGAACAATTTGTTCCAACAGCCACGATGACGGCCGAAGCAGGCGCTATGAAATGAGTAGAGCTTGGTCAGGCCTCGAAGAGGCCAAGGTCATCCACTGCATCCCAGGCCACTGGTGGTCATTCTGACCTTCGTCCTACCACTGGATGATGATTCTGGAGGAGAGAGTGAGGCTGACAACTTTGTGCAACTCTGTCTCACTGAAATCCAATTCATGCACAAGTCAAGACATCACCCCCATGATGTCATTGGTCCTTTTTGAAAATGAAGGACAAGGGGCAGCTAGGTGGTGCAGTGGTTAGAGCACCAGCCCTGGATTCAGGGGGACCATTAGTTCAAATCCAGCCTCAGATACGTAACACTTACTAGCTGTGTGACCCTGGGCAAGTCATGTAACCCCGATTACCTAGCAGGAAAAAAAAGGACAAACAAGTGACTTGCCCAGGATCACACAGCTAGTAGGCATCTGAGGCCAGATGTGAACTCAGATCTTCCTGACTTCAGGCCCAGCCCTCCAACCACTGTGCTGCGTGAGAAGAGTGATCATTTGTAAAACATAAAGGTTAGATTAGATTGTCCTTAACTTGAGAATTCTGTGATATTAAATCAAGAAATTAGCTATATTTATCACTTACGTACACAGAAAAATTACAGGTATCAAAAACGGTTACATTCGTATGCACCCTTGAAGCGAATTATTCTTATTTAGGACAGAGTAAAAGACATCATTGATTGACATCATGGGGGTCGTTGTCTAAACTGTGACAGAAGAAAAAAAATTTTTAAGAAGAAAAAATAATAATTCACCCCAATTTGTGTTTTTCTTAAAAATACAGATTATGTATCTTCAATAGGGAAAACTGTGGCTTCCCGCTATGCAAATGGTCTATTTCGTCAATTCTGTAAAGCAGAAGATGGCACAGTTTACAGGGTAAATGAGTCTGTCAAATTGTATTGTTTAACATTAAGCGATGATAGGTCTGGGGAATGGGATGTTGAGGTAGGATATAGATGAATAAGCACAGAAGCCAAACTGAGGTTTTTTTTCAAAGATTTTCTTTGAATAGTTTAATACCTTTATGGCTGATAGAGTGATTAATAATGTTTTTCATTTCTCACATGAAAATTATTGCTGTTCAGTCATTTCAGTTGTGTCTGACTCTCTGTGACCTCATTTGGGGTTTTGTTGGCAAAGATACTGGAGCGGTTTGCCATTTCCTTCTCCAGCTCATTTTAGGTGGGGCAAACTGGGTTACGTGACTTACCCAGGGTCACACAGCTAGTAAGTGTCTGAGGCAGGATTCAGACTTGGTGCTCTGCCGACTCTTAAGTACTGTGCTTTTTATACAACATCATGCTTCCTCTAATTTAGCGAGTAACGTCCCCAGTATTCCCATAGCCAGGGAGACTCTAAGCATGTTGAATAGGAAGTGCATCTTTGGTTTTTTTTTTTTTTTTGTTCAGTGTTGTCTGACTCTTTGTGATCCCATTTGGGGTTTTCTTGGCAAAGATACTGAATTGGTCTCACATTTCCTTCTCCTCATTTTACAGAAGAGGAAACTGAGGCAAACAGGGTTAAGTGACTTGTCCAGGGTCACAGAGCTAGTAAGTATCTGAGGTCGGATTTAAACTTAAGGCTTCCTGATTCCAGGCCCAGTACTTTATCTACTGCACCACATGAAGATGCAATTGGCCTATTAGAGAACTATGAGTAAAGAATTTGACCAAAGGCTCAAATCCTTGAGTATCAACATTAACTTTACCTTGAAAAAGATTGTAAAACAGGAATATAGGCCTTAACTGAAAGCCAGGGCAGGCAGATCTTGCTGGTGAAGAGTAAGGCTTCCAGTCAAGGAAGGAACAAGAGTATATCATAAACCTACTATGAGCCAGGTTATTATTTTTTTTTTATCATTTCCCTGGAGTAATTTAGGACAGCTGGGGGTGTTCCTATATTTAAATGTCTTATAATTTAGTTAAAAGAAAGTACTGGATTTATTTTTTCTACATTGAGGGCATTGCACAGAATTCCCTCCTCTCTCTTTGCCCCCTGCCACCAACCAGAATCATAACATTTAGAGCCAGAAGCCTAATTCTGTCATACTGTAGATGAGGAAACCGAGGCTTAATTAACTTGCTCCAGGTCACTCAGGTAACAAATGTCAGAGTCAGAATGTGAACCCAGATCTTTTTGACTCTTGTGGTACAGTGGAGAGAGAGCTCCAGGCATGGAATCAGAGGACCTGAGTTTGAAATCTGGTTCTGCCACTTACCACCTATATGACTTTGAAACTTATATAGTCCTTAGGGCCTCAGTTTCCTCATCTATAAAACAAAGAGATTGGATTAGATGAACTTTGAAGGCCCTTACAAATTTAAGGCTGTGATGTGATAGCACTTTCCTCTGACCACATTGCTTCTCTTTGTCTCTACCAAAAAAAAAAAAAAAGATACTGGGGCATAAAAATATCTATTTAAAAATAGGTACTTGACACCCGGTATAATTCAGTTTCCTAAGATACTGCACAATTGTATCTGATCTCAGTTCTGTACATAATAGTGGTCTTTATGTTCACATATATAGATATCTATCAACTATATGCTATAGCACAAACATCCCTGGATTTGCAGATAGAAGACCTAAGTTTGAATTCTGATTATTTAGTACATATGTGACCCTGGGCAAATTGTTTCACCTTGTTAGACCTCAGTTTCCCCAATCATAAAATGAAGGGGATGGATTAAAATTCTCTAAGGTCCCTTTTAGCTCTAAATGCTACGATTCAGTTGAATTAAATTTTACTCAACAGCCATTTGTTAATTTTAGAGCACGGCAATATGCTAGGCTAGCAAAGGCAAAAGTGAAAAATATCCTTTGCTCTCAAGAATGTTACATTTGATGAGAGGATAAAACATGGACGCAAATTAGTGAATGCAAAGTCATCTCAGGGGTCGGGGTGCAGATGGCCCTCATAATTGTGTGTGGGGTGGGAGAGGATCAGGAAAGGCCTCCCATGAGAGGTGGTACTAAGTAGAATCTTGAGAGTAGCCAGGGATTTCAAGAGGCAAAGGAAAGGAGGGAGAATACGCTAGGTAAGGGAAACAGCCTGGGCAAAGGCATGGAGGTGGAGAATAGAATGTTATATACCAGAAATGGCAAGCAGGTCAGTCTGGCTGGAATGTAGGAGTGAATGAGACGTTGAAATGTGAGATCAGTCCAGAAGGGTGCATTGGAATCAGATTGTGATGAGTTTTAACTGAGAAGCAAAGTGTCATTTCCTCCTTTTCAGGGGAAAGGAAAAGAAATAATTTCTTGGGGGCAGTTAGGTGGCACAGTGGATAGAGCACTGGCCCTGTAGTCAGGAGGACCTGAGTTCAAATCTGGCCTCAGACACATAACACTTACTAGCTGTGTGACCCTGGGCAAGTCACTTAACCCCAATTGCCTCACCAAAAAAAAAAAAAGGAAAAAAAAGAAATAATTTCTTACTGTTTGCAGCTGCAGTCCTTGCAAATTCCAAATATATACAGGTTTACATATTGTCTAGAGGCAATAAAGGGCTCCTGATCCTAGTTAGTTATAGCTACTGTGAAGGATACATGATGTCATAACCGTAAAAAAAAATCGAAAAACTTTATCATGGTGAAACTTTATCTGGAAACATGGAAGATTGGAGAGAAAGACTAAAGCTCTCCTGGCTATGAGTGCTGAGTAGCTATGGCACCATGGCTAAAAAATCTGGGAAGAAATATTTGTGGATTTCAGAACGTTCAGAACATTTGGTTACATGTTTAGGAGCATTTTGTATGAGAATCTCACAATCTGCTTTACGAGGGTCTCTCCTCTTTTCCACTGAATATTTTGAGAGTGGTCAAGTGTTCTTATCTAAAGATAACTCTAGAATCATGTATACAAACAAATCTTACAAAAGCATTTTTAAAAGGTGCACAAAAATACTGAATATAAACAAACTAGCTTTCTCCTTGTAGGCTGAATTATGACCTCAGTGGACCTTTTCAAGAATTTTCCAGTTGAAAAATTGGGAAGGAATGGATTATTATCAGCCTTGGCTGACATCTCTTTTCATAAATTAATTAGACCTGAGAGACTAGACAAGTGGAATTGCCCATATTTAATTCTCTCCTATAGATGCCAATACTTTATTTACTTTAAAAATTCCCTATGAAAAATGGAAACATTTTGGGATTACATGAGATTTTTAGAGCATTATTTGTCCAGATCTCAGCTCTCACCCTGTAATATTTGGCAGACATTTCATTTTTCTAAGCCTCAGTTTCCTGATCTGTAAGACTAGCTATTCCAAACCTTTATAAAGTGATCTATAAACATGAATTCTTCTTATTTATTGTTTGACTTAGTTGAGGCTCTTCCACAGATAGGGACAATGGGATGATAACTCCTGTCTACTAATCGTAAGATTCCAGAATTTATCTTGTTAATGGTATCTCTTTGTGGTTTTTTTTTGTGTGTGTGTGTAAAGCTAATAGCAAAAACTGAGTTTATCTGTCCATTTGTGAAGCATTTAAATGATACTGCAAAATGCCTCCAAAAGAGGATGAGTTGGTTGACCAGTGGAAGCCGGCAAATTTTTGGCATGATCTTGGACAAATGTATCACCATCGTGCTAGATTTTGGTTCTCTGGGTGATGAGGAATTTAGCCTTTGCCAAGATGCTCTCATAATGGTCATTGTGGAACAGGTGGCTCGTCTGAAGAGATTTAACCTCATACAGTAAGTTGATTCCATTTTCACTAACAAATAATCTGGAGATAGAATTCACACATGCATTTTAGTGAAGATATCTAATAAGTTAATAATAATAATAATAATAATAATAATAATAATGAATAACAATAACAGCAACAATAGCAAATGCTTGCCAAATTAAACTGAATTGAATATATGGGCCAAGTAAAAGGCAATGGAGAGATAGATGGTGAGTGAGTAGTCTGCCAACAGAGAGCTAATGGAAAATGATACTGGAGAATGAAAGATGCATAAGGTAGAAATATGAAAAAAAAAAGATATAGGCTGATCACATAAGAAGAATAAAAGATAACAACTATAGAGCTTCCATATTCTATTAGTATCCACACTGTACCAAGAGATGTAGAGGAAAGCCCTCAACATATTGAGTGGACCTCTTGTGAAAGACTGATGGTCAGACATGGACAAGAGTTGCATGAAAGTTTGAATGGGTTGCAGTCAGCACCACTGGAAAAGTTACCCACAATAATGAGCTATTAGAGTATTGAAGGACTTAATTAGGATCACAGAATCTCAGAGTTAGAAGGGACCTTATCACCTCCTCTTTTCTCACTCATCTCTGCTTTTCTCTCTTCCATGACTTTTTCCCATCCATATACACACATATTCAAGTTTCCTTCATCCTAAAAAACAAAAACAAAACAAAACAAAACCCTTTTTCCTGAACTTTTCTAATACACCCAGCAACGTGCTCATCTCTTTTCTCTTGTTAACTAACAAATTTATTGAAAAATTAGTGTGAGCTAATATGCCTTTAGTGGAGCTGTGGGTTAATCCAATCATTCTGGAAAGCAATTTGGAACTATAGCTAGTCACTAAACTGTATATACCCTTTGACCCAATAATATATCTACTAGGCATATTGTCCAAAGAAGTAAAAGACAGAGGGAAATTGCCTATGCGTACAAAAATGTGTATAGCAATACTTTGTATTACAGCAAAGATCTGGAAACCCATTAATTAGGGAAATAGCTGTACAATTTGTGATATATGTATATCATATGTAATGTAAGACTATTGCCTAATAAGAACTTCTTTCCTTCCTTCCTTCTTTTCCTTCCTCAAAAAGAGGTAAAAGATGGTGAAAGCACTTTGAGCTGTATTTCTTAGTATCCTGCTGGTCCACAAAGCTGATTGAATGACTGCTAAACCACCCTCCAATGTGATTTTCCTCCCCCAGAGCTGCTCAGATGATGGCCAAGTGGCAATGTGAATCTGTCTTTCCCAGTGAGGATTTCATAAACTCTGCTATTAGGTGGATTAAGAAACTGGTGTGCAAGTCTCCTGTGGCTCATAATAGTGCCATCAATGCTCTGCATGAAGCTCAAAGAGATAACTCAGTAAGTGTGTATGCATGGCTGGCCCTCAAACAAATTATGAAACAGGGAGAGCTTTTCTTTAGAGCCTCGCTGGATGATACCTTCATGTTGCTGCAGATGGTCTAAGATCCCTGCCTTCAATCATAAACCTAATCCTCTGGCCTTTTTCCTTCTTTGATATCTTTATGAAATTTTTCCCCATTTCCATCCTATTCCTCGCTTTAGGACCTCTACTTTCTGAGATGATATCTAACCCATGAGATACGGTAATCCATGTTTTATATCTTAATCCATAGTGTTCATAGTATCAGAGATTTAGAGCTAAAGGAGCTTTAGAGGCAACTGAGTCCATAAGTCTCATTTTACAGATGAGGGAATTGAGGCATGAGAAGTTACATGACTGTCCCAAGGTCACCTAGCTAGTGTCTGAGGCAGTTTTTGAAACCAGGTTTTTCTAACTCCAAGTCCAGTGCCTTATTCTCTAGCCCATACTGCCTCTCCAATGGATAGTTGTGTATGTTGAAGCTCACTCTGTACCTACCCGCCTTCCCAGCTTGTACTTGCAGGTTGAGTCTCCACAGGGCTATCTAATGTAATTTGTATAGCTCTTGGGTAAAATCACTCTTTGATCTTTGTGAGCCTTAGTTTCCTCATCTGTAAAATGGACGTGGTGCTTTTACTGCTTACTGGTTATTGTGAGGAAAGTGTTTTGTTAAACCTTAAGGCAGCACATAAATGTGTTGTTATTAATAATGCATATTTTAAAAGTAGTAAATTATGCTTCTATCCTATGTCTTCTAAATCCAAGGTAAATTTGGACTAATATGATTTCATGGGTCATTGGATAAATGTGTGTATGCTCATCTGTAGGCACCCACATTTTCTTTCTGAGATTCTCAAATTATTTGTCCCAGCACCTGCTCATTTTGTGATCCCCAACATATGTGGCAGCCCTTTCCTTTTTGCTTTAATTTATTTGATTTTTTGAGTTTCCTTTTACTATCATAAATTTCTGGCATAAGAGATAGAGGCAAGTATGGGAATTTGGTGAGAATGCACAAAGAAGAGGTGGGGGCAACCACAATAGTGACAAATTTAGAGGCAATATCATGATACTAGCAAATGTGGATGATTCACAGAGAAGGTTCCTGCCTATCTCAGATATAGGCGTGGCTCTCAAGGAAGACCAAATGATCCATTGAAGCGCAACATCTTTATCTAAGCCTCCTCGATTTAGTTGGAATCAAAATAAGAGTTGTAGGAAGGAATAATGGAATGCTCTGAGAGTTTGTGGGTTGTTTTTTTTAAATTTCCATCCAAGAGATCACATTTCTTTAGTCCTCTCCCTCCTTACCCCAATCCTGAGCAAATTGCAAAGTTACTAATGGAACTAAAATATCATTTGCATCGATAAAGTTTATTTGCATCTGGATTTTTTTTAAAAACAGAAATATTTATATCTTTTATTTTTACATCATCTATTATTAAATATATCCCTTCCTCATTTCCTTCCCAGAGAGTCTTATAATAAAGAATTAAAAAGTGATTAAAAATGTTTTACGAAACTAACCACTATAGAAAAAGTCAGATGTTGCATCCAGTGCTCCATACACACAGGTCCTCATTTCTTCAAAAGAGCAGGTCGTGTTTTGTTTTGTTTCTTCTTTTTTGTAGTTCCTCCTATTGGTTCTAATTCTTCTTTACAACATGACTAATGTGAAAATACATTTCATAGGAATGTATATGTAGAGCTTCTATCAGATTGTGTGCTGTCTTGGAGAGGGGGAGAAAATTTAAAACTCAAAAGCTTATGGAAGTGATTGTTGAAAACTAAAAATAAATAATTCAAAATCTTAAAAAACAAATTAATTAATTAAACTTTTAAAAAGTTAATGTCAAAATAAATAAATTAATAGATAAAAATTAATAGATAAAAATAAAAAAAGAGCAGGTTGTGAGTAGGATAATGTCTTCGCATATTTCTTATTTGGGGTCAGGCTTAATTGTTATAATTTTTCAGAATTCAGTTCCAGGTTTCTCTGGGTTCATCATATTCATCATTCTTTTTTTCAGCCAGAGACAGGGTTTATTAAAGATCCACCATATTGGGCAGACTGTTAAGGAATCTGAACATTTGTGAGCTGTTGGCTAGATTCTTAAGGAATCTGAGCCTTATTCATCATTTCTGACAGTGAACTGATATTTTATTATGTTCCTCGTACTTAGATTTATTGAACTATTTCCCAGTTGATGGACATCTTCTTTGCTGCCGTAAATATTTAGTTATATGTGAGGCTTTTCTTTTTCTTATTGATTTCTTTGGAGTATGTGCCTAGCAGTGGAATCTCTGGGTCAAAGAGTAATTATTTTTATATAATTTGCATAATAAAAGACAGCTAGTTGGCACAGCTGAGAGAGCACTGGACTGGAGTCAGGAAGACCTGAGTTCAGACCCTGCCTCAGGTGTTTACTAAGCTGTGTGACTCCTGGCCAATCACTTAACTTCTTTCTTCCTTAGTTTCTACATTTCTAACCTACCTGCCAGGGTTTTTGTGAGGATAAAATGACACAATATTTGTAAAGCACTTTGCTAACCTTAAGTTGCTATACAAATACTGTTATTATTAATAATTTCAAATTTCTTCCCAGAGTGGTTGAGCCAATTTATGGTTTCTCCAATAATGCCATTATTGTGACTATCTTTCCATAATCTCTCATTGATCATTCTTATTTATTGTCATCTTTGCCAATTTGCCGAGCATGATGTAGAACTTTGGGAATTGTTCTGACTTCATTTTTCTTTTTATTGGTGATTTGGAATATTCTTTCACATGGGTATTAGTAGTTTGCATTGGTCTTTTGGAAACTGTTTTTCATATTTTGTGAACATTTGTTTATTGGGGAATGGCTTTTTGTCCTCTGTAGTTTTATTAGTTGTCTCTATTTTAGATATCAGAACCTTATTGATTTTTTGTTTTAATTAACAGAAATCCAAATCTCTCACAGAGTGGGGCTAATCTATAAATGTTGGTAATGTAAAAACAAAGCTCATCAATAACCTTTAAAATACACAAAAATAAAGGGATATGGAAGTGGGAAAAAAAGGGATATTTAAAAAAAACCTCATCAAAATATCTGATGCAAAGATTTTCTTCCCATATGAATGTTTCTCTTCTTATCCTAGTTACGTTAATTTTATTCATTCAGAAGCTTTTAAATTTCATAGAATTGAAATAATTGATTTTATTTTTTATGATTACCTATATCCCTTGTTTTCCCTAGCCATGGCTATGAAGAGAACATAATCAACTTTTCTTATCATTTTTATAGCATGATCTTTAATATTCAGGACATATAACCATTTTTAATTTTTTTGTGGTATGTGGCTTAAGACACTGATCTAAACCTAATTTCTGCTAGACTGTTTTCCATTTTTTCCTAGTAATTCTTATCAAACATGGAATTGTTTCCTAGGTAATTTATATTATTAAACATTGGGCTATTGAGTTTAATTATTTCTGATTCTTCCTTGTCTAATTTGTTTCAGTGATAGACTTTTCTCTTTTTCATTCAGTACCAAATAGTTTTTCTGATTACTGTATTGTAAGTTGGGGTTTGAAAGGGCTATTATCCCATAATTGCTACCTTTTCATTATTTCTCTTTATTGCTTAGACACATTGTTCCTTCAAATTAATTTTATTGCTTATATTGTATAGCAATGTAAAACATTTCTTTGACAGTTTTTTTAATAGACTAAATCTGTAAATTAATTTTGGTACAATTATCATTTTTATTATATTGACATAGCTCAGCTATGTGTACTGAATTTCCCACCAATTACAGAAATTGTTCTTTGCTTCTTTAATGAGTATTTTGTGATTACACCTAAACAGTTATTGAGTGTGCTTTTGCAGATTGATGCACAGGTATTTTATGCATTTTGTGCATTGAACAATGGAGAATTTTTATATATAAAATCTGATTAGACCTATTGCTAATTTCTTTGAGGATAAAATCCTCCAATTTGTAGGAACCAAGATAGTTAAAAAGATTCAATACTGTCTTAGGTCCTGAGAACTGATGAGCAATTTTAACTTGAAATTATATGCTCTACCTGGATAGAGGGATGAATGTGTTTGGGTTTTCACGATAGTCACCAGCCTCTGTGAGAGAAATGGAGTAGTTAAGTCTCCAGCAACGAAGACTGAATTAGGAGCAGTAACTGAGAGTGTTTCTGTAAGAATAGACTGATTGGTACTGTCTGTGTTCTTTATGTCATTACAACTAATAATGATTCTTGAACCTTAGTGAACACTCTTAACAAGTGAACAAGTTAAGAGAATAATCTGTGAAACAGCATGAAGTGCCTTGATTTGAGGTGGTCCAGAAACGTGAGACAATAATGGCATACATACACATACACACATATACATACATATGTGCATATATTTGTGTACATATCTATCTATCTATCTATCTATCTATCATCTATCTTAGAGGAGTTGTGATTCAAATTCAAATTCCATTATGCTGTGCATAGAGTACTAAACTTTCAGTCAAGAAGATTTGGATTCAAATCTGTCTTTGATACTTACTATGTGACCATGGCCAAGGCACTTAGCCTTTCTCATTCTTAAACAACTCTCTTGAACTTTTTTTAAACTAAGCTACAGATGGGTAACTTAGGTAGGAGCTGACATGGGAACCTTCCACCTGAGTAAATTAGGTGTTAGGTGATGAGCATAGGATTAAAAAATTATTTGACCATTGGCCTGAAGGAGCTGACATTTTACTGGTTGGGGATGAGGTGGGGTGGGGACATGCACATCGATAAGTAAGTATGATAAAGTATAGGGAGTAGAGTAAGTGCAGAGAAGAGGTTCAGTTAAAGTACTCCAGGAAAATTCAAGGTGGGAGAGAACAGCTTCATTTGGGGCACCAGGAAAGACTACATGGTGAAGGTGGCACCCAAAGTGGGTCATAAAGGAAAATGAGGAAATCTCTTCTAAGCATGAGGAAC